GATACACAATTTTAAGTATTTGTCAAACTTTAAATTTTTTTGCTTAATACTTTCAGTTGAATGGAAACACTGCCAGTGGCATGTAGCCAAAACATGTTATGTTTGTTCTCCCATATTAGATAAACAAATTTTCTTATACCCTATATTTACTACAAAGTTCTCATTTTTTTGTTATTTAATTCTGTTTCTTTTGAAGCATGCAGCCATTTACATAGGAGTTGTGTGCACTGGATTTCTTTAGTTTATCATCTTTTGATGAACAGGGATGTCGTGGGTCTATAAGGTTATCTCTCCAATACTGGACCCTGTACAGCACAGAGAGCCAAAAGCAATGCGATCTAGGGAGACTAGTCATAAGGCCAGTCATCAATATAGGCCAGGAAACCTCTGTGATGCCTCAGAGTGTGTCCCCTCCTAATTCTCCCCATCAGTGACAATGCATCTATGGTGCAAAAATGTCATAACAATATTTAAATGTTTACAGAAGTCAGTGCTACTGTTACACACCTTAATTACAATTTATGGATTAATCTGTGATACCCATAACTATTTTATTCATAGGGGAGAGGTATGTGATGGTAAGAAAATGCTTAGAGATTGTGCAGACTTTGATTTAGAATGGCTTAAGAACACCTATTATTTATTTGGCTGGTTATGATGTTTAGCTATGACTCAGTTTTGGATTTCATAAAGTCAATCTATGATTATGGTTTCATATGTCATGAAACAGAAAAGTCTAAAAAGACTTATGATGCAATCTGGCATTAATTCCTAACCTCACCATCTGTGTCACTAATTTGCTCTTCCTCCAGAATATGTGTACCCCATCTGGATGGGTCAGAGTTTGTTTTTTGTTATTTAATTTTACTTTATTTTATTTTTTTTGTGTGTGCATATGCAAGCTTTATAAATGAGACCCCAGGCCAATAGTAAACATGGTATTTAGGATAGATCAGTGCTTTCTTTCTAAGTGAAATAATTATTGTTTAATATTCGTTATTTAGATTTAATGCTTTTTTTCTTTTTTCTTTTTTTCTTTCTTACAGTTATTTGTAGTATTTGACATCATTTCACGGTCATCTTCTGCTGTCGAAAGACAGTTTTAAAGCTGCGTGACGTATCGAATCGTTTCAAGACCTCATTGGTCAGCTCCGGTTCTCCCCTCTGGTGGCACAGCCAATCAGATGGTAGTAATGCCAAGCATAGTGATTACAAATACGGAAATACAGTTCAGCATCCTGGTAGTTGTCTGCAGACGTTTCTTCTTCTTTTTTTGTCCTGTATTTTGATATTTTTTGTTGATCATATTAAAACAGCGTGACAGGTGCTGTAGATATTTGCTTTCCGCTTTATGGATTTGACTCAGCTTCTGTCATGGGCCTGCATCGTGTTCACAGTCGGGATGTTCTCCACAGGACTGTAAGTTTGCTTCAGCAATGTCTCCCATATTATTGATTTTGTGATGGACGTTGCCAACTTTTTTGCTTGTTTTCCCTTTTTTTAAGGGAACCACATTAGTTTGATTATTTCTTGTAACACCTGCTGTTCTGATTTAAACTATTGCATTCAAGTGTTTGTTTCTGCTTCTAGGACCGACCTGAAGAAGATGCGAGAATCCAAAAGTGCAGACAACATCCAGTTTTTGCCCTTCCTTACCACTTGTCTAAAGTAAATTTGTTTTTCTTTTCTTTTTTCCATCTTCTGCACTAATCAGCTTAGTTCATCAAGTCTAACCCTGCTCCTGTTTCCACAGTAACCTGGGCTGGCTGTTTTATGGTACCCTGAAGAGGGATCACACCATTGTCGTAGTGAACATCATTGGAGCACTTCTCCAAATCCTCTATATTGTAATGTACTTCATCTACACTAAACACAAGGTAAAACACAAAATGCTGAGAAATGAAACTATAAAGGAAATGTTCTACAGATGCTTGTATAAGCAGACCAGAGATCAAAATAGACTTTTTTTTTTATTATTATTTATTTAATTGCCCAGTGAAATACTGAGAAATGTAACAGTGGTCCCCTTCTTCTTAAAAAGATGCCAGAAGAAAATAAACTTCCACAGTATTTAGTCTATAAACAAATCACCAAACTGGATCTACTTTGAAAAACTTAAAGTTGACTATAAATTAGATACAGGTGCTTCCAAATAAGGTAAGATTTAATTAAAAGGTTAATTTATTTAAATAAATAATAACTATAAGA